AAAAATGTTCAAGTTACAAATCTCATTACATGAAATCAGTAGCTCTGGAATAAAATTGAGAAAGCTACCTAATCAGAGGCAATATGGCCCATAACCTGTAGTTTTGAAGTCATAATCTGTCACTCTTAATTTTGATTAGGGTTCTGTAGTAATTTGTTTTTTAAAGTGATTCTTGAGAGTTTCTATTCGAAATTCTTAATGACCAATTTGACCATCACAAGCTTTAAAATTATAGTATCTTTGAACATTAAATTTTGTCATGCGTGTCTGATTTTCTTTATTGTAAAATGATTGTTTAACATTAGACTAGTATTATTTTCATTTAATTATTCTCCATTTCTAGCGTTGCAGTGTTTCTACAGTCTAATGTTTGTGTTTTTGTCCCAAAAGTGCATGTAGTGTGTAAGTCATATTTCTGCAAAGTGTTTTGTTTTGACAAAAAGAGGGTAACTAAAGGCCAACTAGCCTAACATTTATTGTTGGAAAAATGTTTGAATCAATTATTAAGAAAGAAATAGCGGAACATTTGGAAAATCTTTATCTAATCAGGCAGAGTCAGCATAGCTTTGTGAATTGGAATTGTGTCTGACTAGTTTATTAGAGATTTTTAAGGAAGTCTCAACCAGTGTGGGTAGAGGGTAACCAGTTGTATTTGTGTTGTGTTGTATTTAGACTTCCCAGAAGACATTTGACCTTTTGTGAGGTACCTTGTCAAGTCATAAGAACTTAGTGTTGGAGGTGGTATATTGTCGTGGATAGAGAATTGGCTAGTTAGTAGGAAACAGCAACTGGGGATAAGGGGTTCTTTTTGAGGTTGGTAACCTGTAACCAGTGGGTTCCACAGGGGTCAGTGCTGGAATTGCAACTGTTTACAATATATATTAAAGACTTAGAGAAAGGCAGTGAATGCATTGTAGCAAAATTTGCAGATGTCACAAAAGCAGGTGGAAAGGCAGGTTGTAATACAGATCTATATAGTTGACAGAGAGATATTGATAGGTTAAGTAAGTAGGCAAGAAGTTGGCAAATGGAGAATAACGTGAGAAAATGTGAAGTTGTTCATTTTGGAAGGGAGAACAAAAGAATAGAATATTACTTAAAAGGAGAAGAACTGCAGAAAGCTGCAACGCAAAGGGACTTGGGGGATACTTGTACATGAAACACAAGAAGCTAACACACAGATGCAGCGGGTAATCAGGAAGGCTAATGGAATGTTATTCCAAGAGGTTTGGAGTATAAGAGTAGGGAGGTCTTACTGCAACCATACAAGGTGCTGGTGAGACCCCATCGGGATTACTGTGAGCAGCTTTATTCCCCTAATTTAAGGAAATATGATCATTTAGTCAAGGCAGATCACAGAAGGTTCACCAGAATGATCCCTGGAATGGAGGGATTGCCTTATGAATAAAGGCTAAACAGGTTTGGACTCTTTTCACTGGAGTTTAGAAAAGTAAAGGGGGTTATCTCATTGAAACACAGGACTCTTGAGGGGCTTGACAGAATACATGCTGAGAGGATGTTTTCCCTTGTGAGAATTTAGGGCCAGAGGGTAGAGCCTTAGAATAAAGGAGTGCCAATTTATGACTGAGATGACAAATCTCTTCTCTAAGGGTTGTGAATTTTTCGAACTTCTTGCCACAGAGAGAGAGCTATGGGGGTGGAGTCCTTGTGTATATTTAGACTGAGATACATTCTTGATGGTTATGGGAAAATGCAGGAAAGTGGATGTGGGGAATGTTGGATCAGTCATCCTATTGAATGGCAGAACCGGCTCAAGAGCTTAATGGCAGACTCCTGTTCCTGTTTCTTCTGATATATTAATACAATGGACCGTAATAGAAATATTGAATTCCTTGCTAGTAAATTTATTTTTTACATTGACTTTTTATGAGCCTTAGTTATTAGTGAGTTCTACAATCCAATGTCTGCAGAATATTTGCACTTCCTTATCTATGATGGTTGGCAGCTGACAATCAGACGCGCAGCTTTTATTAATTGGGAAAACAGAGCCAGCTGCAGAAAGTACTTCTTAGTTTGTCTCTAATCAGATTTTGTGCCTTAATTTAACCATAATAAATCAAACTTATTTGCATACTGTATTGTGGAGAGTTTGGTATCAGTACAAAGGTTAGAAAAGATTGGTCTCGTGAAATGTATGAGGTGCAAAATACATGCCAAGTTATTCTTGAAAAACATTTTTGTTTGGATGGAATTACAACATATGTTAGCTGAATCATTTTGCATTAAGCTGTAAGCTGAATGTTTTAGACCATGGTCAAATGCCTGTCTAGGCACAAATTGTACTCGTTTTACAAAGTTAATTTTTTGCTCAAATTCAAAATGTTCTATGGACCAGTTAATCAGATGGCTGTTTAGAATGCAAAATATTTTCAAATTTAGATTTAAAGGATTCTGTGATTTTAAGATTGGCAACATGGTGTCATTTTTATTAATACTCTTGAGAATGGGTGTATCACAAAAATAAGTATTTTAGTTTCTGGTCTGCCACAGCTTGATATACAGATTTTAAATGAGCTTTTTATTTGAGCAAAAAACAATAGTGAGCATTTACCATCTATGATGATGGACAGTAGTCAGTTTCTTGGTAAATTTAGAAAAGCATTTTAAAAAGCTTTTAAAACCTCCTAATAATACTCTTGCACACATTAATTTTAAGAGCCACATCAAAGGCCATAAGGTGAATAGACTATTCAGCCCATCAAGTCTGCACCACCATTCAGTGAGATCATGGCTGATCTGACAGTCCTCAATTCCACCTTCCTGACTTTTCCCTTCTCTTCTGAGATTCTTTTCCTGATTAATTATATTCAAGCCCGAGATAGACAGATTTTTAATGATCCAGTCTCAACAGCCCTCTGCAATACAGAATTCCACAGGTTCACTACTCTCCAAAAGAAGAAATTCTTCCTTATCTCTGTCTTGAATGAGTGATCCCTTATTCTGTGATTATGCCCTCTGATCTTAGACACTTCCACAAAGGGAAACAACCTTTCTGCATACCCTTTCACCTCCCCTGACAGTCTTGTATTTTTCACTAAGGTCGCCCCTGGTACTTCTGTATTGCAGTGAGTACAATGAGGCCCAATTTACTCAAACTCTCCTCATAAGACAGACCCTCTAGCCTAGTGAATTTATCTGGACTGCCTTCAGTGCCGGTATATCTTTCCTTCGATAAGGAGCCAAAACAGTTCACAGTAATGCATCTGCGGTTTGACGAGTGCCTTTATATAGTTTTATTAAAATCTCCTTACTTTTATATTCCATTCCTTTTGAAATAAAGGCCAACATTCCGTTTACCGTCCCTCTTACCTACCGAATTTGGATACTCAGTAGTGACTCAGTAGCAACAACTCCCAAATCCTTTTTTGTTTAGTCTTCTGCAGTCTTTTTTAAGTTGAATAATATTCAGTTCCCCTCTTCGTTGTGCCAAAGTGCATAACCTCACACTTTCCCACATTATATTCCATTTACCAAGTTTTGTATACTCATTTAACCTGTCTATATCCCTCTGCAGAGCCTTTGTGTCATCCTCACAACTTGCCTTCCCACTTATTTTTGTCTTCTGCAAACTTGGTTGTAGTATATTCATGTTCTTTATCCAAATCATTAACATACATTGTAAATAATTGTGGTGCCAGCACTGATTCCTGTGGCACTCCACTATTCCCCTTATCGCAACTCTGTCTTCTATTAATTAGCCAATATTTTATCTGTGCTAATATACTATCTCCAACACCGTGGGCACTTACCTTATTAAGTACCTAATTTGTGGTACCATATCAAATGCCTTCTGAAACTCCAATTGTATTATATCCCCTGTTTCCTCTATCTATCTTACTTGTTACCTCATAGAATTCTATGATTTCCCTAATGTGAAGCCATGCTGACTCTGTA